ATACTGGAAGAGAATAATAAGTAGCATGGACGTGGGCTCTGCCCATGAAACCTGTAGTCTGAGAAAGAGAGATACGTGTGTGTAAGAGCTAGATGTGTGCAGAAGAAAGATAAGATATCTGTGTGCAGTAGATGTAAAAACTCCTCAAGGCACAAATGAAACAAAAAACTGAAGAATCAGGATTTTTAATGTTTCTAAAATAAAACTGACAAATATCTTCAAGCACATTCCCCCATTGATCTCAATGGTACCTTATTTGGTTGTAATTATGATATAGCCATGTCACCAGTTACTTCATATGTGCCCCCCGCTTGCCTAGACTCTTTGCAGTTAGGTGGGGTGGTATGACCCATCTGGCCACTAGCCAATGAGCAGAACTCTAGAAGAACAGGTACAAGTTCTTGTGCTGTTCTGTTCCCCTAACATTGTGAACACTAAGGACTCATATTGAGATGATGAGACCTCCAGACCTAAAGGAGCTTAGAGCAATCACTAAACCACAGGAAAGAAAGCCCCACGGAATTGCCTGAACTGACCAAGAGCTTTACAGAGCAAGAAACAAACTTTCCATTGTTAAACTGTAAATTGTTTAACTGCTCTTAAGTAAACTTTTACCAAAAGAACCTGTCTTATTCTGATATATCAACTCATCACAATAAACAAAAAAAATGCTCTGAATCTTAACAATAAAAGGTTGTTTTCGTGTCCATGCAGTTGGCAAATCCCTATTTTTTTTTCTTTGCAAATCCCTGTTGATCACTTACTAGGTGTCAGGGCCTACTTCAGGTGTCAAGAATACTGTGATGAACAAGAGAAAGTCCCTGCAGCCACAAGGAGCTTACATTTTAGTGAGGAAGACAGACAGTAAGCAACTAAAATTTTCAGGCAGTGATAAATGCAACAAAGGAAAGAAAGACCTTCCTTCTTCATCCTGCCCATTTTCAGTATGTCTCACCCCTCTCATGTTCCTTCCCTCCCTACTCAGCTTTGATTCTCTGCTCCATCATTATGTTTATTGTCCCACCCACATCTTCAACTCACCTTTCTCTCCTGTCTTTATACTTGTCTGACAAAAGGCAAACCTGGTTAAATCCAAATCTTCACTACCTCTACACCTACTCCTAGTAGCTGAATATGGATGCAGAAAAAATATAATCCTGGCTGGTCTCACTCTGACTTCTTGGCCACTAATGTCAATGGCTCCTCCTCACCACTGCCTGGCAACCCTACCACATTCATCCCCCCTTCTCCCATATGAATAGCTCCCATTCCTCTCTCTGAAACCGCCAACTGTCCTCTTCCACACTCACTGTCAAGGATTCTACTCCTGATTTCACTGAGAAATTCAAAGGAGTAAGAACTTCTAAAGCTCCCACATATCTGCCAAACCCACCAGCTCCTCTCCTTTGCTGTTTCAGCTTCCTCTCCTGAACCTGGAGCTGGTCAGCTCCAGTGTACAGTCTTGACCCTCTCCTCACCTCCGCTGATATTCACTCTGCTAGTGAGGCCTTCAACCTAGACAGCATATTAAAAAGCAGAGACATTACTTTGCTGACAAAGGTCTGTCTAGTCAAAGCTATGGTTTTTCCAGTAGTCATGTATGGATGTGAGAGTTGGACTATAAAGAAAGCTGAGCACTGAAGAATTAATGTTTTTGAACTGTGGTGTTGGAGAAGACTCTTGAGAGTCCCTTGGACTGCAAGGAGATCCAACCAGTCCATCCTAAAGGAAATCATTCCTGAATATTCATTGGAAGGACTGATGTTGAAGCTGAAACTCCAATACTTTGGCCACCTGATGTGAAGAACTGACTCATTCAAAAAGACCCTGATGCTGGGAAAGATTGAAGGCAGGAGGAGAAGGGGACGACAGAGGATGAGACGGTTGGATGGCATCACCAACTCCGTGGACATGAGTTTGAGTAAACTCCAGGAGCTGGCGATGGACAGGGAGGCCTGGCATGCTGCAGTCCATGGGGTCGCAAAGAGTGGGACATGACTGAGCGACTGACCTGAACTGAATGAGGTCCTTCAGGCTCAGGGCTTTGAATACCATCTACTGGATTGCCATTCCCTTCTCCAGGGGGTCTTCCTGACCCAGGGATTGAACCTGGATCTCACGCATTGCAGACAGATTCTTTACCATCTGAGCCACCAGAGAAGCCCTCTTATATAGTGACAATTCCCACATCTATATTGTGAACTAGAGCTTCTCCTGCATGCAACTCTCACATCCAATCTGAATGTGGATTCAGATGTGAACCTGGATGTGAATCTCACATCCAGTCTGAATCTCCATTTGGAGTTAACAGGAATCTCACTGGGCTTCCCTGATGGCACAAGTGGTAGAGCATCTACCTGTGATGCGGATTGCAAGTTGGACATGACTGAGTGGCTGAGCACACACACACAAATCTAACAGGCCTAAGCGAAATAACTGATTTCCTTCCCCCCCACTCCTTGTCCCTCCCCTCAACAAATACCCCTCCTCCCCAACCCCTGAGGTCTTCCTCATCTCAGTAAATGGCTGTTTATTGGGGCCTCTCTGGTGGCTCAGATCTAAAGAATCTGCCTGCAGTGCAGGAGACCCAGGTTCAATCCCTGGGTCAGGAAGAGCCCCTGGAGAAGGGAATGGCAACCCTCTCCAGTATTCTTGCAGGGAGAATTCCATGGACAGAAGAGCCTGGCGGGCTCCAGCCCATGGGGTTGCAAGAAGTCAGACACTACTGAGCTACTAACACTACGTTGACTGAAAACCTCCAAATCATCCATAAATCACATTCAAAACTCCAGAGGATTCTTAGAATATATCCACTATCTCCACTACTCTCATTTATTAGTAGTTAGGATCTCTTTTCAAATGCCATCTTATTAACAAGATCTTCCTTAAGTATCAAATACGTAAAATAAAACCCCATCCATCGTACTGGTACTTCACATCTCTTTTAATCTACTTTACTTTTATAGCTATTCACAGTATAGTGTATTCACTTGTTCGCTGTCTCAACTAGAATGTAAGCTTGAAGATGGCAGGTCTTAGTGACTGGCAGAGAGGAGGTTTGCAACAAATATTTTTGAATGAATAAGTGAATTACTGAAAAAGAATGGAAAGAGAATAGTGATGGTACTGGAGCAGGAGAAGAACTTCAGCATAGAGCTATTGGAGTTTTAAGCAAGAGTAAATGAAAACAAAAAACTCCCATAGATTACCTTGGCTGCTATGTGACTAGTAGGAGGTGGAGGCAGCAACGTGGAAGCCACCTGATCAGTGAGGAACTATGTCAAAATCTAAGCAAAACTAGAGAGTGGACAGGATTGAGTGGCCCCAGAAGAGTGGGAGATGGTTTAAAATTTGAGGGAAGAAATGACAGAATTTGCTTATGTTTTCAGACAGAACTCGCTTATGTTTTCCGTAGGGGCACAAAAGGAAAAGAGAAGATTCAAAGGCTATGTCTAATATTTGCCATACAAAGCGGAATCCATTCGGGCAAATATAACCGACCCTGTTTCTAATATAAGTACGTCCAATAAAAGGATCCTCTGGGCAGACAGTGGTTTTCGGCGGGGGGCGTGAAACCACGGGGGTCACAGACACAAAGGTGGAGCATTTGAGCGGGGTGTAGGGGAGGAGCAATGTTCCGTTTTAACAAAGCCAAGAGTGAGTTTATTGCGAGGGTTTCGACCTGCAGGCCGGGAAACTCAAGGCTATGGGAGCAATGTGTGTTTTTTTTTTTTAAGTTTTAAAGGATTCTGAGATGGCACACGTCTCCAGGAGAAGAGTCTGGACTGGGCGATACCGTTTTTTCTTCTATTGTAACGAACACACACGACTTCCCCCTAATATTTACGGGTCTGGAAATCTTTGTCTCCGGTAACGCGAACTTTCTATGCAGTAGGATCTTTTTCCTCGCGATGCACTTTGCAAGCGATGGGGTCCTCCTAACAGCAGATTCAGGAGTCCTCAGCAGCAGCGTGATCTCTGGGACCCAAAGGAGATCACTCACTTAGTAATTCCCCTCAACCTCTGGGAAATAACTGTAGCAGGGACTTAACTGCATGTAAACTTCTTCACCCTCCCTCCCTCCCGCCGCCTCCCGGACCCACGGCCGCTCCTCCTCCTTTCCGGGAACGAGCCGCGGAGACAATACACAGGCAAGCCCCCTAGCGTTCTTCCGCTCAGCGCCGCCACGCCGGCCCCGCGCCCGCTCCCGCCCGCCGTCCGCGACGCGGCCTGTCGGCTTTCCCCGCGGAGCGCCGGATGGGCGGCGGGACGTCACCGGGGCGGCCCGGGAGCGCGCGAGGCCCCTGCGCCCGCGGCAGGGGCGACCTCTCGAGGCTCCACCCCGGCCCGGCGGGCTTTCCTCAGAGGCGACCGCCCACCCCGCCCCCCCAGCCCCGCGCGCGCCAACTCCCAGCTCGCGGCCCTGATTGGCCGCCGCATTCCCGCTTTCCTTCCCGAACCGCCATTTTGAAAATCTTGTTGATTCTGGGCAGCCGAGAGCGCGGCGCGAGCGTCACGCCAGCGAGCGGCCCGTGCGCGTCCTCCTCGGCGCCCGTCGCCGCCTCCGGGAGCCTCTTCGTGCCCTCGCGCGCCAGGCCCGCGGCCGCCGGGACCCGCGGTGAGGGCCGCATCGGCCGAGGGGAGGCCGAGAGGGCGCGCGGGGCCCCGCCCGCACCTCCGCGGCCATTTGGACAGCGGCCTGGGGCGCGGGGGGAGGGGAGGGGACGCGGGGCGGCCGGCTGCGCGGGGCCGGGCGGTGGGAGGGGCGGCGCGGCGGCCGCGCTTTCCCGCCTCGGGACGCGTGACGGCCCGCGGGGCCAGAGAGAAAAGCCGCCCCCCCGGGGGAGTGAGCGCCACCGTCCCGGCTACGCGGGGAGGCAAACTTTGAGGTCGGGGCTCCTCGCGGCGGCGCAGGGTGGGCCAGCCGCTCGGGGCGGCCGGGGGGCGAGAGGAGACCGAGCCGAGGGGTTTGGTGTGCTCCGCGCCCGCAGGTCCACAGCATGTCCTCCTCGGGCACAGCTGCGGAGGGAGAGGCAGCCCCCGCCCAACCCGCGTCCGAAAAAGAGCCCGACATGCCCGGCCCGAGAGAGGAAAGTGAAGAGGAGGACGAGGACGACGACGAGGAGGAGGAGGAAGAAGAGAAAGGTGGGGAGCGGACGGCGTCTTTCCTAGTGATGGATTGTACCGAAAACGCTTTTTCTGGCTCTTTGTGCACTTAGAGACGCTCAGTCGGAGTGATTTTTTTTTTCAGTAAGAATGTGGAATTATCTGGGGTTTGTGTGTGTGTGTGTGTGCTCCGAGAGCAGCGGAGAAAATAACTTTGTGAATTCCAATTTGAAGAAAACAAAAACAAAATCCTCATTCCGTTGTTGTTATTTCGGAGTGCAGTTTACGTCTCACCAGCAACAGACGTTCATAACATTTCACCGTTTGGCAGGAAGTTTGTAAGTTTCAGATCTGTTTTTTTTTTGTTGTTGTTTGTTTTTTTAATTGCTGGCCTTGGGGGTTTGCTACGGTAATGTTTTGTTTTTGCTCTTCAGTACACAGCCTTCGCGTTTCGAAATTGTAAGGCTCTGACAGTAAGAATTGAAGTTGTTAATGCTAGACCTGGAAATATTTTAATCGTTCGAGTATATTTGCTGAACTTCAGCAGACGTCCGTTTCAGAGGCTTTGGGGAGTTGCTTTCGCGGGGAAACACCGGTGAAAGCGGTTGCTACTTAAAGTAGAGTACGAAAGCAGTGAACTGTGAAAAGAAAGTTAAAGAGCTCAGAGTTGTCTCAGTTTTGGTGTGGAGGGAGAACAGTAGTGATCTATGTGACTGGACGCTTGAAACGGGGAGAACCTTACAGAATTGAGGCGTGGTCCTGCGGTCAATTTATCCAGGATTCACGGGGCAGTGCGTCTTGAGGTATGCCAGCTTCATGAAATGTTTCCAGCCACTTAAAACTCCGTGTTGGAGATCTTAGCATTCTCTTATGATATTAGCCCAATCTGGATTTATTTAATACTTGATTACGACTCAGCCAAACTTGGGAAGAGGTTTGAGATTTTCATCTCAAACCCAGGTTTCGCTGTTTTTTTTTCCCCCAAGCCTAAACCAGTCCATAATCAGCATTTTATGAATACAATCTGGGTTGACATTACTTGGTGTGCTTTTGTTTGTGTAAAGTGGTAGGTGCTCTAAGAGGGGAAGCATGCCCGCATTTAAGTACAGAAACGCTTGGGAGAAAAATACGTATTAATTTTAAATTATTCATAATCTAATAACTGAAAATTGGCTGCAGTATCTCACTGCCAGTCCAAGACTTTCTCAGTACTTTTTCCTCCAGTTTTTGCTTTTGGATACCACTGAGATGATGAATTTCTTCACATCAGGAAAAAATTATAGAAGTCATGTGTTCAATAAGGGCGCTATAAATGACCAGTACAGTAATGCTTGGGAGATTGATAGTTCAAATTGTGATTTTTTTTTTTTTTTAAAGACGTGAAAATTATTATTTTTAAAAAAAGTGCCCAGGAAGTTCTGTAGTTTTCTTAAATTTGTTACTGTTCTGTTTTCCTCTGAGGTGTTTGTGTGACAATTTAAATCGAGGATGTTTTTATTCTATTTAGCCCTGAAAATACACCTCTACTAGTGAGGCATCATAGAAACACGGAACTGAAATTTGTGCCAAATAAGGGGTGGAATTGACTTGACTTGGCAACGGTTTGGGGAGTGAGGGGAAAGGTGGCAGGAGATGCCTCATAAAAGATGACTTTTAGGTTTCTGTCGTTGGGAGCTGGGTAGATTTTACTTCCATTTTCTGAAACATAGAATTCACGAAGGTGAGTGAGTTTGGAGACGATTATGGCTTCTGTTCTGGGTGCATTGATTTGGCGCCGGTAGGACATGAGCTGTCCAGTTGACAGGAGCACAGGAGACTGCTCTGGACTGGAGGCAGACCAGGGAAGTCACTAGCTTATAGACGGTAATCAACGGCCAGTGAAGGGCATACATCCTTCAGGGAAGGGAAGCCGGGCGATCTTCAGAGTTGCTTTAGAGTGGTTCGTTCAGCTAATACACGCATGGCCAGGACACACCTGCGGGAGGCCCTTTCTTTCTATTAATTCTTTCTGGGCAGAGCCTTATGTCTGCAGATCCTCCCTGTCCTTCAAAGCCAGCTCCAATGTCTTGATCCTTTTTCCATAATCCTAAAAGAATTACTCTTTCATCAACTCACAGAACTTCAATTTTATCTTTCTTGAACTGTATTATCTTCTTTGGAGTATATTTGAGTCTCCTAGACTCTACTAGACATGGTCTCTTTCAGGAAATACTGAATTTTTTTTTTTCTTTAGTTTATTTGGCTGCACATGGTCTTAGTTGTGGCATGTGGGATCTGGTTCCCCAACCAGGTCTCAAACCCAGGGCCCCAGCATTGAGAGCTCAGAGTCCTAGCCAGTGGACCACCAGGGGAGTCCCTCAATTTCTTAATCATCTGTTGATGCCCCCTTATTATCTGTTGCAGCTTTGCACAAAACAGGCCTTCAGGTGAATGAATGGAAGTCCTTCCAACAATATGTAGTGTCCTCTTATTTGTCTGAGTTTATCTCAGTCAGAAAGTAAATGGGTTTTAGAAAATCCCAGCTTAATGTTTTAAGTGTTAAAGTATATACTACCTAGCTTAGAAAAATGCAGTCCAGCCTAAACATTGCAAAACTTTTTTCCCCCAAGGTTTTATGACCGTTGTTATGAACATCATTTATTGAACTACAAAGTAATGGCATCCCAGCTGCTTGCCTTAAATGTTAACTTGAGAATTTTACCCTAGCTGTAGTAACCTGGGTGCTCTGCCTTATTCTTGTTTTTCTTTCTTCTGTTTGCTTACTAAATTATTGCTTTCCTTGGTTATCTCTTGAAATTCTTATATCTCAATTTTAACTTGCTGTTTTCTGATGTACAGTAAACAGAATCCCAATAAATAGAATATGTCTTAATCAAATTGTAGGTTAATGAACATCTTGGTGATTTTTCACAAATTCTGTAGCAATAATTGTAGCTGGATAAAAGTTTATTTGCTTTCTGGTTTTTTTTTTTTTTTTTAAACACCAGTTCCTCTGTGAGGTTGGCCAGGTAGATAAAATGTTACGTATTAAAAATTTTCAGTGATGGAGAAGGAAATGGCAACCCACTCCAGTATTCTTGCCTGGAGAAGTCTATGGACAGAGGAGCCTGGCGGGCTGCAGTCCATGGGATTACATGACTGAGCATGTGTGCACGAGGGTGGAGGGAGATGGGTTGGTAGCAATAAAGTGGTAGAACTAAAAAAAAAAAAAATGATGGGTTGGTAGCAATAAAGTGGTAGAACTATTTTTTTTCAGTGATGATACTAACTTACCAAGTATTTTCACCTCTGTTGTGTCATTTGCTTCTCAAAATCATACTTAGGAGAGTAAGATACTAGGTTTCTACAGTTTTTTTTCCCCCTACATGTTGATATAATACATCCTTTAAGCTTTTCCTTACTTAAGTGTTAAATTAACTTCTAGAAAAGAGCCTCATTGTGGAAGGCAAGAGGGAGAAGAAGAAAGTAGAGAGGTTGACGATGCAAGTCTCTTCCTTACAAAGAGAGCCGTTTACAATCGCACAGGGTAAGTTTATATTCCTTTCATTCTGCAGTGAAAATGCCTCAGTATACAAAATGATGCTTAGCAGTGTTTATTTAGTTTTTAGTGTTTACTAAGTACTAATATATTACAGGTGTAATTTAATTTGTCCTATGAGAGCAGAAGTTATATGTAAATTAAGCTCTAAAAATAACTCATTATATGTTCTAACACATAATGGGTGTTTAACATATTTTTTTTATTCTAGGAAAAGGGCAGAAACTTTGTGAAATTGAAAGGATACATTTCTTTTTGAGTAAGAAGAAAACAGATGAACTTAGAAATCTCCATAAACTGCTTTACAACAGACCAGGAACAGTAAGACCTTTTTTATACTTTTTACCTAGTAATGTACTTATGTGTTAAAATACTTCACAACAGGAACATAATTTTAGTTCTGGAAAGGACTTTAGTTCCAGAACTAAATCAACTAGATCAATCTCCATTCCGCACAAGTGAGCCAACTGACAGTTTAATGATGTATCCCAGGACATGTAGCTAGATATAGCCATTAGTATTGTAACATCCAGAGCTCTTTATACTGTAGTTGTTTTTAAATGAAAGTTAAAGTTCCTCAATCATGTCTGACTCTTTTCAACCCCATGCAGTATACAGTCCACAGAATTCTCCAGGCCAGAATACTGGAGTGGGTATTCTCCAGGGGATCTTCCCAGCCCAGGGATTGAACCCAGGTCTCCCGAATTTCAGGCAGATTCTTTACCAGCTGAGCCACAAGGGAAGCCCAGGAATACTGGAGTGGGTAACCTATCCCTTCTCCAGCGGATCTTCCCAACCCAGGGATCGAACTGGGGTCTCCTGCATTGCAGGCGGATTCTTTACCAGCTGAGCTATCAGGAAGCCCATAGTTGTTTTTAAGCCAAACTAAAATTTCAGATTGTGAAATCAAAGTTTTGATTTAGTGATCTTTAACTGTGTTAGAAGAAATTTATTTTTTGAATGTTTCTCGCCATTCAGAATAAACGATACAGAATATTGCGTCTCATTTTGAGGAAATATCTGATAAACCAGGGGATCATTTTTTGCTGACAGTTTGTTAAAATAAATCTGTTTCATTTACTGATCGTAATACTGGTCACACAACTTCAGTATTGCATACAACTGAGGACACTTCGCTTTGGGCTATGCATGGGCAAAGTAAAGCTTGACATTGTTAGACTGTCTGAAGCGTGGTAAGCTTTGTTTTCCTGTGTGTTACCTCATTCAACCCTGACAACAGTCTGATCTACACAAGTCCCATTACTGTTAAATGATATTGACTTTTGGAGGTACTCTGTTCTTAAAGAATAAATCCCTGACTTTCTTGTTTGAAAAATTAATATTACTGGTAGCTTGTATTACTCAAGGAAGGAGTTTTTTTTTTTTTAAAGCCATTTATTTATTTTGGCTGCACTGCCTGGCTTATAGAATATTTATTCCCCAACGAGAGAATGAACCTGGGCTTTGACAGTGAGAGCTGGGAGCTGGAACCTCTGAACTGCCAGGGAATAAGAATGTTTTTTAAGTAGTAACTTTCCACTTCCCTGGATGCTATCAGATAACATTTAATTGTGGTTTTATAATTACTCGGGAAATTTCCCAAATGAAATACATTTAAATTCAAATTGTTATTTTCAAAGAATTAAGTTTGTAAATGTTTTATAATGTTAATAGTTTAGTAACAAATGCAGTTTTCCATTGTGAATTTTAAAATGTGGGTTAAACCAGTATTTTAACATGGAGACAGATGTGAAAAGAAAAATGTTGGCTTTGAAATTTTTCTTGTATACATTACTGAGTAATAAATAGCATTAATAATAGGAGAAACGTTTTCAGGTGTCCTCATTAAAGAAGAATGTGGGTCAGTTCAGTGGCTTTCCATTTGAAAAAGGAAGTATCCAATATAAAAAGAAGGAAGAAATGTTGAAAAAGTAAGTTATCTTTATAAATCACTTTTAGAATGTGCTTCAGCTTTTTTTTTAAACATTTAAGTATAACTGCTCTTAAATTTTCAGTAGACTGCTGATTCTTTGCTTTAAATTCCAAGACCATGTCATCATAAACTTTTTTTTATCATAAACTATTAACTTGCTTTCTGAAAAATAGTGACTATAAAGATTATTGAAAGCTCAAAGACATTTCTGTTCCTTAGAAGAATGATACACAGAGGTAAATTATTCACACAGCCCCAAATTCAGAAAGTCCAAAGGGAATGTAAATGTAGTAAAAACTCTTCCACTCCTATTCTGTGTCAGCCACTCCATTCCCTCACTTATAAGTGCCATTTAAACTATTTTGAAGATAATCAAATTAATAGAAATAATTTCCACCCTAATGCAGACAAGATGATATATTCTTTTTAAACAATTTTTTAATGAGATAGTACATTCTTAAAAGGTTTTTACTAAGTCCCCTGTAGTTTAAAACTCTTGAGTATTAAATATGATTACCTATTACCTTGTTTGAGACATTGTCAGTAGGAATACTCAGGGGAAAATGTAGTATTTAATCACCAGCCAGAAGAATTAACAAGTTTGTGAATTTTAAGTAATGAAAAATTTTACATTATTTTCTAGTGAATGAAGTAAGTTTTTTCTTATACCGCCATTAAAACTTAAATGGTAAATTATGTTTTCTGTTTATTAATAGTACCTGGTTATATTTTGTGCATGCACCAGTCAAGAGTATTGGGAGTATTTCTAAGATTCAGAGAAACACTGGCTGCTTTCTTAATGTTTGTGGCTGAGCCAGTTGGGGTAGCTCTTATCTTTATATTGTGGAGAATGTTTATAAATTTTTCTACGTAATCACATTGGCTTTTTCCATTTTCTGTTTCAGATTTAGAAATGCCATGTTAAAGAGCATCTGCGAGGTTCTTGACTTGGAGAGATCAGGTGTAAATAGTGAACTGGTGAAAAGAATCTTGAATTTTTTAATGCATCCAAAGCCTTCTGGCAAAGTGAGGATCAATTTTTATTATTTCAGTAACAAATCAATTCTGTTTAGCCTCTCCTTTCTCTCTCTCTTTTTTTTAATGAACATTTTAATAGTTAGCAGCTTTGCTATCAATATTCAGTAATATCTTCTACATTCAAAGAATTTGCCTTTGGTTGACATACCCGCAACAATTTTGATAGAGAAAACAGAAGGCATACAGATGTGTTTTCCCTTATCAAGCATAAAGGATGTAAGATTAAGAAAGATAGATAATTGTTATGTAAATGTCAAATGGGACAGAAATGCAAAGAAACCAGAGTTCTGTGTCTAGATGACTTTTTTTTTTTAATTTATTTATTTATTTATTTTATCACAACCATAGTGTATCTTTTTTTTTTTTTTTTTTTAAACATGTATTCCCCATCCTGGTCCCCCCTCCCACCTCCCTCTCCACCCAATCCCTCTGGGTCTTCCCAGTGCACCAGGCCCAAGCACTTGTCTCATGCACCCAACCTGGGCTGGTGAACTGTTTCACCCTAGATAATATACGTGTTTCAATGCTGTTCTCTTGAAACATCCCACCCTCGCCTTCTCCCAGAGTCCACAAGTCTCTAGATGACTCTTGAACAGAAATAGGGCTAAGGAGGAAGTATTGGGCTGGTGAGGGAGGGTGTACAGCCTGTAATCAGATCCAGAAAGACAAGGTGGTGTGTTAGAGCTGGAGATTTACTAGATACTGGAGTAAGGTTATGAAAAAGGGGTGGGAAAAAGCTGGCTTTTTGAAGTTGTGTTGGATTTCCAGAAACATCAAGAGAGCCCAGGACAGGGGAATGAAATGGTCTTAACGGTTTTTGCCATTCTTCTAAAATCTGGATTCAGTTCAGTTCAGTCACTCAGTCGTGTCCGACTCTTTGCAACCCCATGAACCTTAGCACGCCAGGCCTCCCTGTCTATCACCAGCTCCCGGAGTTTACCCAAACTTATGTCCATTGAGTCGGTGATGCCACCCAACCATCTCATCCTCTGTCGTCCCCTTCTCCTACCGCCTTCAATCTTTCCCAGCATCAGGGTCTTTTCAAGTGAGTCAGCTCATCATATTAGGTGGCCAAAGTATTGGCGTTTCAGCTTCAAATCTGGATTAGATTTGCCCTAATTGTTTAACAGTAGCAAAGGACATCACTGAATTGAAGTGTTAATTATCTGAATTTGCCTTTTCAGCTTAAGTCTTTCAGCATTTATTTTCTTTATTTTCTCATCTTAATCGGAAATAATTGAGAAGAGATCTAGAGGGCCTAGGAGCTCAGAGTCCCATTAGTGAGGAGAGAAGGGCGTTAAGATTAGAAAACTGGGAAATAGCTCTGGGACTTAATTTTTGCCTGCTCTTGGTCCTGTTGACTATTAGCTAGACAGTGATCCCTAAGGATATTTTTGTCACGTAGCTAAAAATTGAAGAGGTATGGTAATGGGGAGGGAATTCTCATTGGTTTATCTAAAAGAGGAGTTTGAACACTGTTTCCCCAGAAGCAGTTACTAACTTGCCTGAATTATGAAGGATGTGTTTAATTCAACTTTTCCTCAGTGGTTTTCAAATGTATTTAGCTTCAAGACCCTGTCACTCTCTTAAAGTTAATGAAGACCTCTAGAGCTTTTGTTTATGTGAGTTACTTTGATATTTGGTACTGGTGACTTAGTCACTAAATCGTGTCTCACTCTTTGTGACCCCATGGATGATAGCCCACCAGGCTCTTCTGTCCATGGGATTTCCTAGGCAAGAATACTGGAATGGGTTGCCATTTCCTTCTGCAGGAGATCTTCCTACCCCAGGGATCGAATTCAGGTCTCCTGAATTGCAGACAGATTCTTCTTACCGACTGAACCACCAGGGAAGCCCATTTTGATATATACTGTATTCTAAATTAAAACTGAAAAATTCTAAAATAGCAGCAGACCTACTGCATGTTAACAAAAGTAATATTTTGTCTGAAAAATAGCTATACTTTCCAAAATTTTAATGAGCGTGACATTCTGTTTTTGCAAACCTGTCTGTGTCTTGATTTAAGGCAGGTCTATTCTCATTTGCTTCTGCATTTCCTTCTCTTGAAATAATGTATTGTTTTGCTTGAAGTATAAGAAAAAAAATCCACCGTCACACAGCTATGTAGTTAGACAAAGGGGGGATATTTTTAAAAGCCTTTCGGGTAATTTTGGATAGTCTCCTTTGATACAGCACTAAACCTCCACAGTTTGGGGAGGGGTGGGGGAGTCTTAAAAGTTAGTTGTAATGTGGTATCTAAAACCATGTTAATGAACTTGAACCTTTTACCTGTGTGTGATTTTTGTAATACGTACCCTCCATTTGGAAAATACTGATTCCCTGAATTACTCGTATCTTCCAAATGTTGGCACTTTTCACAGTCAAAAAGCCAGATTCACTGACATGACTATTATCAGGGACAAAAAAAATCTTTAGGTACTGGCAAGGCTGTCAGGCCCATGATAGTGGAGGTGAACTTTCCAAAATTTAATTTTCACTTGAAGCTTTGAAATTTATCATTGGAAACAAGTGCTGTTAGTTTGGTGTGTGTTTTTTTTTTTTTTTTAGGTGACAAACATTCATTTTTGAGAATATATCTATCAAATACTAAGTCTGAATAGGCATCATTTTTCACTTATCCTTTTAAAAATGATGTTCCAAAGAAAAAAGTAGCTAACTTTGCAACCCCGTGGACTGTAGCAGCCCCCCAGGCTCCTCTGTCCATGGGATTTCCCAGGCAATTTCACTGCTCAATTGCACAAATGCTTTTTGTCAAGAAAATCAGTGCACTTCCTTATGCAGCCAGAGTACTGTGTGTGTATCTCCCATTTTGTTGTACAGATGTTGTAAAGACGTGCTCAGAGGTTGAGAGTTAACATCAAGGACTAGTGTGTGGTTGGTTATGAGGTGGTGAGGAGTAAAATGACTACAAACACAAGTTTCTGCCTCAGTCTCGATAGGGTATCAGTAGGTTTGCCTGCCTTCCTTCTTGAGCAATCACTACAAATGTCAGGGCAGTGAAAAGAGCAAATAAATAGTCTCTTGATATTACTATGAAAATAGTTCTGACCTTTAGTGCTTCTGGGAAGGTCTCAGGAAACTCCAGGGTCCATGAGCCATACTTTGAGAATCATTGTTTTATCTTTTTTTAATTATGTCTTAGTCTTATATCCATTTTTCATATCTGATTTTGTGATGATGACTCCTTAATCTAATGGTATCAATCTCAGGCCATTTTCTATGCTACCATATGCTTCCATCATTTAAGGAAAACACTATAAAGTCATTAGTATTCATCTTTTCTGCTCTAGAATAGTCCTAAAGGTGCCTAAAAGTGTTGATTTAACATTGTTTTACTCCTGTTGTACTTCTACCTTGTTTGTTAATCAGATTTTGTTCCTCAAAGAGAATGATGCTCTTGACACTGGTTTCTGATGAATATATTCAACTATTTTTAGAACCACTATAGGAAAGTTCTAAGGCACTTTTATATTATTACTTTTTAAAAATGAAGATCTCGTCATTTATTTTTAGAAGTTGCATTTTCTTGATTGGGTTCTTGAATGATGAAACATCCTTTCATTTTCTTGTGTAGATTTATCCAGCGTCCCCGCCGCATTCCAGTCCTCATCTTAACTGATTTCACATACAGATTATTTTCTCAACACCTGCATCTGGTTCCTGAGCTGACATAGGAAGATCACTTTTTTTCAAATATATTCATGTCTTGGATTTCATTTAATGAGTAGTGAGTTTAGACAGTGAGAATTAGCTTTTCTCGAAACAAACATCAAAGAATTCATCAAGATGGATTGGTTCCTGGTAATAGATGATAATGGCAGTAGTTCACATAATAAGATTATCTGTATATGTTTATTCTAGGAGATTTATGGAGAACCTCTCTGAGAAATATCTTTGTCCACTAACTTAGTTTCTGGAGGCACCTAGATTGACTATTTCCCAGTCTGCCTTTAGAAGGGTAGGTTGGGCAAGCTGGAGGCTGTCCCGTGGGTTGTAGATAGCCTCAAAGTGCCACATGACACAGAACAGCCACTTCTTAATTTTGGTGTGGGTAACAGTGACTCCGAAGCCTGGGAGTTCCCGAAAGGGAAGGGAGCTATGGTTCCGCTGTATTCGTGAGAGATACTAAAAGTTACTGAGAATGTGTACACAATTGCATGTCTTAAGGTTATGTTATGGAATTTTCCTTAATGTTTCTGCTTATTGTAAAAAATAACACAGGCAAAAACAAAGACAAAAGATACCCATAATTTTAATTCTTAGTGTGTATCTTTTCAGAATCTTTATGCAAAGTTACTGTATGGTTTTCAGTTTCTGAAGTTACCAAATACTCCCCTAAGAAAGCATTTAAAAATTAAATTTGTTGGTTAATATAATCAAATCATTTTCCTCATGTGATCTCTGCTTTTTAAATATGCAAGGTTTAATTGAATATCAAAGTAATGGCAGTGGCACTTATTTTGTAGTTCCTAATTAGTTTCATAATTAACATACTCAACACTTACAGCGTGTTTAAAATCGTAAGTGAGAATATAATCCTGGCATTACTGAAAGTAGAACCCCTAGGTAATATGAATATAAACTATATGGTTCATAAATTCAGGACGTGTAAAGGTTTTATTTCCTTTAGGGATGATGTCTCTCGGTCTGTTGATTGGAGGGTCCCATAAAGCAGGAAGACAGTGACAGTTTTAATGTTGATAGGAAATAAATTATGAGTCTAACTGAAAGTATTGTCCTGATGAAGTGTAAACAGACGTCTTAAATGTCACGCAGTGTGCACTCAGACTTCTAGTCCTGTATCAGTACGTGAAGAGCCTCTTGCCTGGATGTTTAGAGTTCTAAACAAAATGAATAGCTATTGGCAATGCAGGCAAAAAGGTTAGCATGACACATGAAGTTAGAGGTGTATTACTCTCTAAAGCTGCTAAGCTTGTGTCAGGAAAGAAGCGTGATTTAAGAAGCTGTTGAGAAGTAGTTATCAGAAACAGGTGATTGACTTGGAACTGTAATATCTCATTGGTATTCTTTATAAGACCTCATTGGTATTCTTTATTTTACACAGCCATTGCCAAAATCTAAGAAAAGTTCTAGCAAAGGCAACAAAAAGGAACGGAACAGTTCTGCGATGGCCAGGAAAGCTAAGCGAACCAAATGTCCTGAAATCCTGTCAGATGAATCTAGCAGTGATGAAGAGGAAAAGAAAAACAAAGAAGAGTCCTCAGAGGATGAAGATAAAGAGAGTGAAGAGGAGGTAAAACGTTGGCACTTTTTCCTCATTTCTTTTCATGGGGAAAGTTAAATATTTGTCTGTATAATAGATTGGTCAGGAAACACATATATACCATGTTGGTGGTTTTTAATTCCAAAGACACAGAAATGATGAAGTGTAAGCCCTTTCTTTTTCTTAAGGAGCTTTTAGTTTTATTGCTGTGCCAGAGTGTAAAAGTTGGAAAAGAGTGAGGTTGGTGTGGACTTGATTTGCTCTGTACCTTGTAGACTAGAGTACATAAATGAAGGCGAGGCGGGGGTGTGTGTGACAGGAACATAAAGGGAGATCTTACGAGAATTTTTTCGTATATATCAGTATTTTTTGATTGACTTGTGCTTTTTTACTGTTTTATGCAAAAAAGCAAGGGATTTAAGGACCACCATTTTATCTCATTTGGGGGTTATTTAATGAGACTGGCAGCATTTGAAGTTTATTTTGTTGATGGGCAAATTTTGTATCACTTAGGAATGCCTGCCATTTTCTTTTACTTGGGAGTATTTTTTAAATGTTGGGACGTCCATGGTGGCTCGGTGGTAAAGAATCCTGCCAGTGCAGGAGATGTGGGTTCAATCCCTGGATCAGGAATATCCCTTGGAGAAGGATATAGCAACCCACTGCAGTATTGTTGCCTGGGAAATCCCACGGACAGAGGAGCTTGGCAGGCTGCAGCAGTCCACGGGGCAAGTAGATGAGGATGAGTGGGTACAAGGAGCGATTTCCTGTTGTTAGTATTGGTTTGCTGACTCTGTTTTCATGTTTTGGTGCTCCCTTTCATGATCAGAACTTGCTTGGGTAATCTCCCTTGTTTTCCTTAGGGACTTGGTTAATATGGCTTGACCTTCTGGGTGGAGATGATTTTTCAGTGTGGAGGGAGGGAGGGCTGTCTTGTGCATTGTAGAGTTTGCCTACTAGAGGCTAGTAAGCACACCCCTGCCCCCACCCCTTAGTTGAAATCAAGTGTCTTTAGACATTGCCAAGTGTCCCCTGGGGACAAAATCACCTTCAGTTGACAACTACTCTATTAGAATAAAGATGTGGTAAACTATGTTTTTAAAGGTTTGCGCTTTGTGTTTATTTGTCTTTAGGTATTTAAAAATCCGTACGTGTTTTAATGTCAGATTCTATAAAGACGTCCGTAAAGCTAAGTATGAAACACTTCCTAATTTTAAAAAGAATACTACAGATCCAGCAGGTGTTTCATAAATAGTATCTTAATATATTTTTGGTGTGAAGGAAGATGAGTAATCTGAGCACTGAGGTTTTTATGAAATAGATTTTACGGAAGTGGGAGGAAAACATGTTTGTTTATATGTGAATATGTAATGGTAGTAATTCTGCAATAGATTTCCTCATTCAACACATTTTTGGTTATCTATCTACTATGTGTGTTCATTAAACTTTGCAAAACCTTTTCAAAGGCAGATTTAAAGCATGAAAAGTTGTCTTAGAATATAAACACTTAATTTTTTCATAGAGGTACTATGGTTAGGAGCATGGCCTTTGGAAACTGAGTTCAAATCCCAGCTGTGTTCTGATCATCACTGTTTGGCTTTGGGCAAGTTACTTACAAACTCTGTATTTCAATTTCCCATCTGTATGATGGGGATAATAGTAGTAGTAGTGTCTTCCAAAGGTTGTATTAAGCACTTAGAGCAGTGCATAGCACAGTATTAAGTAAATATTAGTTGCTGCTATTACTGTTATTATTAAGATGACATTTTATCATATGTAAGATTTCTAAATCCAATCTTCTGTCATTACTAAGGTGTAAGTTTAAAAGTGAGGATATTTTACAGTCATTTTTTTCATTGCTTTCCAGATTATTGTCCCTTTGTTCTGAGTAGAGTTAGTTGTTGTCGGTGAATGCAAATAACTCCTGATTCATGACTATGTTAGTTGTTGTATAAGGATCACACGTGGAACTGTCCCACTACAAATCAGAGCTTTTCTTTCTACAGTGTCTTAAATGAGGGTCTTGTTAGAAATCCAGGTCAAATGATGAAAATCCATGAAGGAAAAAACACAAAAATGCTTTTCAGACATTCAGAATTAGGTTGGTGCAAAAGTAATTGCGGTTTTACATTGTTGAACTTTGCCATTTGATACTGGAGTACTTTTTTTTTTTAATACACTCTTAAATATGGTTCTATTCATTTTAATATGCGTTTCTCACTTTTTTTTTGCTAATGACTTACTATTTGCTGTTTATATTTATTTTAGACTTTAGAAATGATTCTTAGACATAAAGCAAATTTGAGCAATTTTTTTATTCAAGTTCAAAATGGGTTGTAAAGCAGCAGAGACAACTCAAAATCAACAACACATTTGGACCAGGAACTGCCTATGAAAGTACAGTGCAGTGGTGGTTCAAGAAGTTTTGCAAAGGAGAGCAGAGCCTTGAAGATGAGGAGGGTAGTGGCCAGTCATCAGAAGTTGACAATGACCAGTTGAGAGCCATCATCAAAACTGATGCTCTTAAAACTACGCGAGAAGTTGCTGCAGAACTCGTCGACCATGCTGTGATCGTTAGGCATTTGAAGCAAATCGGAAAGGTGGAAAAGGTTGATAAGTGGGTGCCTTGTGATCTGACCAAAAATAAAAGTTTTTCTTTTGAAGTGTTGTCCTTTCTTAGTCTATACAACAACAATGAGCCGTTTCTCAATTGGATTGTGATGTGCAACAAACAGTTGATTTTACACAACTGGTGAGGACCAGCTCAGTGGCTGGACTGAAAAGAAGCTCCAAAGCACTTCCCAGAGCCATACTTGCACCAAAAAAGGTCATGGTCACTGTTGGCTGGTCCCGTTTGAGCCACTACAGCTTTCTGAATCCTGGCGAAGTCATATCTGAGAAGTATGCTCAGCAAATCAGTGAGATGCACCAAAAACTGCAACGCCTGCAGCCAGCAGTGGTCAACAGGAAGGGCCTAATTCTTTTACATGACAACACACGACTGCATGTCACACTTAACTAACACTTCAAAAGTTGAAAGTATTGGGCTACAAAGTTTTGCCGCATCCACCATATTCATCTGACCTCTTGCCGACTGACTACAACTTCTTCAAGCATCTCAACAACTTTTTGCAGGGAAGACGCTTCCACAACCAGCAGGAGACAGAAGGTGCTTTCCAGGAACTCGTCGAATCCCACAGCATGGATTTTTTTATGCTACAAGAATAAAGAAACTTATTTCTCGTTAGCAAAAATGTGTTGATTGTAATGGTTTGTATTTTAATTAATAAAGATGTGTTTGAGCCTAGTTATAATGATTTAAAATTCATAGTCTGAAACCACGGTTACTTTTCAACCAACCTAATATACAGTCCCACAGCATAAAAGCTGTATCATCATGCTGTATGGTTTTTCTGCTTGGGCTGGTAATGATAGACTTCATAAAATATACTAGTAAAATCTGGACTGAAAAGTCTTTGTTTTTCCTGTTAAATCACCCTCTCACAAACAGTAATTTTTCATTTCTCTGCAAAGACTTTAAAATTTAGGGCCATTCTCACAAACTTTATTGCTGATTCTGTTACTGTGAAAGGCTCCAGTTTCCTTTGAAAGGTAAGTGCTGGCAGGAGGGATAGTATTTCTATAGTAACTTTGTTTTCCCTTTTTCTTCTATTTTTTGAAGATTCAGCTAAGTGGCAGCCTCATTAGGGACTTCATAAATGGAGATATTTTTGTCAGTACTGTGAAAAGACCTCTTATTTCTAAGAGGCCATACAGAAGAGTTGTTGATTGATGGGAAAAGTTGAGGATTGCATATAGATAGAAATTCTTCTGCAGATTTTTTTTCATGGAAAATTACTTCATTAATAATTTTTATTTTTATTTCCTGAAGTGAATTTTTCCTTCATAGATAGAACTTTTTTCCCTGTTAAGATTAGCTTCTTGTTCTATTTTAGATTCTTGGAATAAATAAATGAGCTTGTTTCTTCTTTGCTCTGTGAATTGAAAGCTTTGGAGCATATAATTTACATCGTGTTGCTGAAGTCAGAAGTCTTAAGCAGAAATCCAGTTCCAGTTGTGGTGTTCAGTAGCCAGTTAAGTGAGGCTGAGTATCACACACCCGGTCCTTTTCATGTTTAGCTGTGAAAGAGCAGGATGCTTGATTTACAGGTAAATTGATTATTTTTAAAATACAGGATTAAACTTACTGAAAACTGTACTTAAAGAATTGGCAGGGTTTTTTTGTTATTTAGTCTTTTACATGAAGTATGTCGCATTTAGCGTGTTAGCCAGCGATTGCTGAAATCCTTTGTTTGAGGTTCTCTGTACCTGTACCTCTGTTTCTGTGATACACAGTGAGGGGTTCACAGCCATTTTTCATTCTCTCTTTCTTTAGAATTAATTCAGACAAGAAGGTGCTCTTTCTGATAGTGACTGGGTAATAATTTCTTTATAAAAGAGCTGTTGTAAACATCTCTATCATCTTGGCTCTTGGACATTTGCTTATTACTCAGGGCGGTAGAAGGAGAGCATTTTGGAACCAGGCAGAAACTGGTACGTGAGGTTTCTTTACACAGAGAGCAGAGGTTTAATTACTTATTATGAAAAGCAGTTGATTCCCGTATTGGAATAGATTTTTAGGAAAAGGTTGCTGAGATTAAACCACACTCAGGCATGCCTTTCACTCCGTTTCACCTTAGGCACAGAGAACTCCCAGGAGTGCAAAGAAAGGAGAAGCAGTGCTTTCCACATTGGAGACGACGACTCTGATAATATTTTAGACCCTTAAAAGCCAGCTTAGTGCTGCTTAAGGTTTTGTTTCCTAGTGTTTTTATAAACACTGTATCTAGGAAAGTGTAAAACTAACTGTGAATATTTACTTTGTGAGTATTGAATTTATCTGAATATTCCCAAATACATCAGGAATAACTTCAGCTCTGTACTTAAAACCCCTACTAATAATGTCCGAAACAGGAGTTACTTTTTCTTTCAGGACAGGGAACCCACAAATAGGCAATTCTGGGCCAGGA